CGACGCCACCCCCTGACCCCTGTTGGAGGGCGACAGAGCACGAGATTGCTATCAGAGGTCGCGAACGTCACTCAGGTGGGAGTGGCTCAATGCATAAAAACAAAAAATCGAGAGCAAACCATGAAAGAAAACTAGAATAAATCCATTCATCAACAAATATCACTCCAAAAGGTACATCCATTTCATTCATTCAATGTCAAAAGTATTTACAATTTCTTTAAGGCACTACTGGCCCAAAAAACAAGAAATGAAGTGTACATCATGTTGCTGAAATCATCAAAACATATTGTGAAAGTCTTCAGAAGACGGCTTCTGAAACTTCTTAATTTCGGGCTTCAAACTCTCAAACTACCATCCACTTTTAGCACAGACGCCGCCACCCTTCACTCTACAGTTATGAAATTAAGATGGAATGAGCTAAAAGCCCAATAAGCAGATCTACACCATTGCATTCCAACCAGCATAACAGTGATAACAATATGCAATGCACATATATTCATAAGATATCAAGTGAAATCCTCCAATTATGCTTATCATCATTCTAACAGTAATATTATAAAAGAAGTTTAATATGCAATTCATAATTCACAATCACCTTACTTAAAGTAGAACACTAACGATAATAGATCATAGTCACAAAACTAGTAAAGCTCTACTCTAGAAGAAAAAGCCCCATCTCTCAGACTAAGCCAATCCTGTTGCATGAGGCTTCTACCCTCATTCAGGAGGGAAGACAATGACAAGTGGAGGACCCACTTCATAATGCCCTCACACACGCACACATTCCCAGCGCGCTTTGGGGTTTTCGATAGGCAGTGGCCTTAAAAGACACGACCCTCCCCTTAGACCCTTTTAGCGAGAGGGCATTACACTACTATAGGGTGATCCCATGCATAGTGCCCAAATAAGTATGGGGGGCGCAACCCTCCCAGATGTTCACATTCACATTCTGACTCCCATCCTATCATGGGGAATAGGAGAAGATCACAGCTGCTAACACCATCATTCACACAGTAGGTAGCCTTCCCAGTAGGTAGCCGCCAGCACCATCATTCACAAAGTAGGTTCTCATTCATATATCACATAAACAACATGGTACCATCATTCACACAGTATGTACCCATTCATATATCACATAAACAGCGTGGTATTATCATTCACACAGTAGGTACCCATTCATATATCACATAAACAACATGGTACCATCATTCACACAGTAGGTACCCATTCATATATCACATAAAAAACATATCATCATGATAAATAGCAATATCACATTTTGGTAATGGCATATCATACATAAGCAATATCATAATGACAATACCATGATAATAATGACATTATTCCTGTTAAGCCTTACTGCTCAATTTCCTGCCATGAAGGGCAATGGCGTGCACTCACCATTAGGGTCATAACGTTTGGATCAATTATAGTTTGAAGATAGTTCCAAAACCACTTTTGTACAAAACACCCTATCCCTTAAATTCGATTGGTTTGAAGGCAATTGAACCCCATTTGACGTCGTTAACTGTGTTTCATCTCTTTCATACCATGAAGCAACTTGGGATGGTTCCAAAATCAAAGTTTAAGCCAAGACGAATATATTTCTAGAGAAGCTAATTTGAATGCATTTTGATTCCATTTTTTGGTTCAAAGACTCATTCCAAATAAGGTGATAGTTCTGAATTTTATCAACACTACCCACAGTGACATACCTTCATAAAACGAAGTATAACTTTCAATCTAAAAGTAATTTCAAAATAGTTTCTACATACAAATTTTGGTCCATTCAAAGATCTTTCAAATGAATTTAATTTGGCCAAAAATGATCCCTGTTTGATTAGTTAAAATCAGTGACCATTGTGGCATCAGTAGAAAATCCATAAAAACAGTTAAAAGTGATGTACCTTCTCATTTTGAAGCATATCTTCATTTTTGTAAATAATTTAAATAGTGGGAAAAAAAAAATATTTTACTAAACTCATATACCTTTCCAATGGCAGTGATTTGAGGTCAATCGGAATTGGCAGTGATTTGAGGTCAATCGGACCCCATTTGACTGTTCAAAAGTTTCTTTCAAAACACTCATATTCCTGGATATTAACATTAGCATAAGACATATCGCAAGAACACAATTCATGGCCTACATTCCATGGTGAAGAACGAGATAACAACTATTCTCTCACAATGCACACTCAAAACATGAATTTCTTACATAATCTAAGAATCATACATTCATTCTCAACATCCACCATTATCATAGAACAAAAGCCCCAATTTTAAGTGAAAAAAGGCATAAGGATTTTCTACATCACATACACTTTCATTGCTTATTTCACATGCATAAATCCCCATGCATCCTTATAACTGCCATACAATGGTGATGGATCCACTTACTTGCACCGAAATGGGGCCTTCTCACAAAATCTTCTTGCACAGCTCGTGCTCTACCAACAATGGCTGCTAACCAAACTTTCCCCAACCTTGCTTAGAGAGAAAAAGAAAAGTGCAGGGAGAATGGGTGGCATGGGTGAGAGGGTAGCTTAAGTACTCAAGAGATGGGGAAGTGGCCAAGTGACGCTAGTGGTTGGGCAAGTTGCACCCAAAGTATGACAAGTGATAAACACTCTTCATGCACCCTAGAGCCATGCGTTGTGCCTTGTCCCTTCTTCAGCCGGCGATGCCCACATGGCGTTGCCCATCCTCCAGCTCACGCGCACACGCAGTGTAACCCCCCTTCATTGTTGCACACCTTCTCTCCTTCCTGTCCATCGATGTGCGCCTTCACTGTGCCTAACGCCGTGTTCTCACTTGGTCTGCCTCGCACTCCCATCACCGGGCGCTTATCGTCGGGCGACTATCCTACGCCAAACTGTCACGAACACCATCGCCGCGTGACCTCACCATCGCCGCGTGACCTCTTACCGCCTGACTCACACTGCCGTGCGCACCATCGCCATGCAACTCTTCTCTCCTTCTATCACCACACGGCCCACACTCTACTTATCCCGCTGTGCACTCAACCTGTCAGAATAGTACGAGTCCATACATCATCCCCCCTTAAAAAAATGATTTTGTCCTTAAAATCATCAGTTACTCAAATAAATGGGGGTACTTTTCTCAAATCTCATCTTCTTGCTCCCATGTTGACTCTTCCTTCGAATGGTACTGCCATAAAACCCAGACTAGAGGAATCTCTTTATAGTGCAAACCTTGGACTCTTTTCTCCAGAATCTTGACTGGCTGCTCCACACAAGTTAAATATTCCCTAATCGGGATTGGCTCATACTTGAGGATGTGGAACGGGTCGAGCTGATACTTCCTTAACAACGACACATGAAATACATCATGAATGTTGGTTAGCTCAGGTGGCTGGGCCATTCAATATGCCACTTTCTCTAAAATCTCATACGGTTCAATAAATTGTGGAGTTAGTTTCCCCTTTTTTCCAAACCTCATTATGCCCTTAACTGGCGACACCCTCAGAAAGACTCGGTCACCCACTTCGAATTCAAGGTCCCTTCTTCGATTGTCGGCATAACTCTTCGTCCGACTTTGAGTCATTTTATGTCTTTCTCGAACTAGAGCGATCTTCTCTGATGTCTTTTTAACAATCTCTAACCCTAACAATCTCCTTTCACCGACCTCGTCCCAGCATATAAGTAATCTGCGCTTCTCCCATACAATGCCTCGAATGGCGATCCGAATACTACCTTGGAAACTATAGTTATAAGCAAACTCTATTAAAGGTAGGTGAACATCCCAGTTTCCCTTAAAATCTGTAACACATGCCCTTAACATATCTTTCAGGGTCTGAATGGTCCTCTTTGATTGACCATTAGTTTAGGGGGTGGAAAGCTGAACTGAAAGGAAGTCTGGTCCCCATGGCCAACTGTAGACTGTTACAAAACCTCGAAGTAAATCTAGAATCTCTGTCGAACACGATACTGACAAGCACTCCATGCAATCTTACAATTTCCTTGATGTATAATTGGGCCAACTTATCCAAGGTATAGGTAGTGCAGACCGGTTAGAAATGAGCAGCTTTAGTGAGTCGGTCCACAATGACCCAAATACTATCATGCCCCAAACTTGATATAGGCAAGCCCGATACAAAATCCATAACTATGTGTTCCCATTTCCATTCTGGCACAAGTAAGGGTTGTAAGTGTCTAGTAGGCTTATGATGTTCATCCTTCACTTGTTGACAGGGCAAGCACTTGGAAACAAATTGTGCTACTTCTTTCTTCATGTTATTCCACCAAAAGACTCTTTTTAGATCCTAATAAATTTTTCATGCTCCTTGGATGCACTGTATAACGGGTGTGATGTGCCTCTTCTAAAATAGCCCTTTTTACCTTCTCATTATCAGGGACACAAACTCGACCTTTAAACCTTAACATATCATCACTGTCCAGAAAAAAATCTTCCTTTCCTTTCGAATTTATTTTCTCGAAAATTTCATGAATTGGGGATCCTCCTTTTGCGCTACCCGAATATGCTGAAAGGGATGGGGCTCTATTCTTATAAATGAAATTACTCATTTCCCATCATCAAGGGGTAGAGTTGGGTGCCATGCTACTACATCGTCTAGTAGTTTCATCTCTCGATCCATTGTGTGAGCTATTTATATCATAGACTTCCTACTTAAGGCATCTGCTATAACATTGGTCTTACCCGTGTGGTAATTGATGGTACAATCATAATCATTGAGCAGGTCCATCCATCTTCTTTGTCTCATATTCAATTATTTCTAAGAAAACAAGTACATGAGGCTCTAATGATTGATGAACACTTTAAATTGAGTTTCATACAGATAATGTCTCCAAATTTTTAGGGCAAAAACCACAGCTGCGAATTCCAAATCATGAGTGGGATAGTTCTGCTCGTACGGTTTTAATTGCATGGAGGCATAGGCTATAACCTTTCCCCTATGCATCGGTACACACTCAAGCCCTTTGTGTGAGGCATCAATAAAAACCACAAAATCTTCATTCCTCTCAGGCAAGGTCAGTATCGGGGCAGTAGTTAATCTCTTTTTTCAGCTCCTGGAAACTTCTCTCGCAGCTATCAGACCACACAAACTTGAGTTCCTTTTGGGTTAGGCCAGTTAGGGGAAGTGCTATCTTCGAGAAACCTTCAACAAAACACCTATAATACCCTACCAGTCCTAAGAAACTAAGAAATTCTGATACATTTGCTGGCCTTTCCCACTTAAGTGCTGCCTCAATCTTACAAGGATCAACTGCAACCCCTTCTTTGGAAATAATGTGCCCGAGGAATGCCACACTTGGGAGCCAATACTCACTTTTATTGAGCTTAGCATACAATTTCCCCATCCTTAGGTCTGGAGGACCACTCTTAAATGTCGTTCATGTTCTTTTTTATTCATGGAATACATCAAAATATCATATATAAAGACCACCACAAAATTGTCCAAATAGGGTCTAAAAACTCTTTTTATTAGATCCATAAAGACAGCCGAGGCGTTTGTCAACCCAAACGGCATGACTAAGAACTCATATTAGCCATAACGAGTCCTAACTGCAGTCTTGGAGATATCCTCTTCCTTAACACTCAATTTGTGGTATCCAGGCCAGAGGTCAATCTTAGAAAATACTTAGGCCCCCTACAATCGATCAAAGAAGTCATCAATTCTAGGCAACATGTATTTATTCTTTACTGTGATCTGATTCAACTATCTATAATCAATGCATAGCCTCAAAGACCCATCTTTCCTTTTTACAAATAAAACTGGTGCGCCCCACGGTGACACACTAGGTAGAATGAACCCCTTGTCCAATAATTCCTATAATTGCTCCTTCGATTCCTTCAATTCAGCTGGGGTCATCCTATATGGGGCTTTAGAAATAGGAGTCGTACCAGGGGCCACCTCTATTTCAAATTCAATTTCTCTAACTGGGGGAAGAGAAGTTAACTCTTCAGGGAAGACCTTTGGATATTCTCCCACCACCGGTATTTCTTCTAATTTAGACTGAATGCCCCAGTTGTCTATTACATAAGCGAAGTATCCAACACATCTTTTTTCCAACAGGCAAGGGGCTCGAAGGGCTGAGATGATATGTAAAGGAGAAACATCCTTAATGCCCTTAAAATATAGTTCAGGTTGACTTGGGCATCGAAAGGTTACAATCTTATCAAAACAGTTCAATGTAGCATAGTGGGTAGACAACCAATCCATACCCAAAATAATATCAAAGTCTTGAATATCTAAAAGTATCAAATCTATAAGCAACAAATGCCCTTCAATCACATTCCCACACTGCTTATACATTATATTAGTTTCTATTGCTTCTCTCATAGGCGTACATACTACCAGAGTCCAAACAAGTCGTATAGGATTAACATTTAAGTGACACGCAAAGTGTGGTGCAACAAATGAATGGGATGATCCAGGATCAATTAAAACTTTTACCTCAATTCCACACACAGAAGGCATACCTCGAATCACAGATGTTGACACCTTAGCCTCTGGCTCGATCAGGGCGAACACTCGCCCTCGAGCCCTTGATCAGTCCTCTGATCCCTGACGGGACAGTCCTTCATTAGATGGCCAATTTTACCGCACCAAAAGAAGGTCTTGGATTTTCTGAAGCATTCCGCTGCTGTATGGTTGCTTAGACCGAGGGCAGACTGGGCACTGGTTGTTCCTTGCATCATTTGGGACAACCCCTGGAATCCTGACACCACCTTGATTATTTCTCCCCTTCAACTCTCTCCTTGGAAGGGGGTCGTGCCTTCTTCTTAAAACTCTCAGGCTGGGCGACATCCAACTTTCCATCTCTTCTTACTAAAAAACCATCATCATGTCTCTCTATCATTGGGGCCAAATCCACTAGTGGGGCAAAGGTCTTAAGATTTGTTGCAATAATCCTTCTCCTTATATCGGGCCAAAGGCCCCTCTCAAATTTACTAGCCTTTCACGCCTCAGAACTAATGATATGTGGCGCATATCTGGAGAGTTCAGCAAACCTTGCTGCATATTGCTCAACAGACATATTCCCCTATTGCAGCTCTATGAATTCTACCTCTTTTCTTTCCCTTACATGGTCGAGGAAGTATTTCTCATAAAAGACTTCTAGAAAATTTTCCCAAGTAGTAACAACCCCTGACCCTTCTCGTAACTGCTTTACTGAGCTCCACCAATGCTCAGCTTCTCCCTCTAGCATGAACGTACCCAGCCTAACCTTTTGCTCGTTGGTACAATTTAAAACTTCAAAGATCTTTTTTATCTGCCTTCTCCATCTCTCAGTCTTTTCTACTCCCCCATGCCCTACAATGTTTGAGGGTGCCAGCCTCCCGAACCTTTCTAGCAGATTACTATCATTTATATTCGAGGCGGGGGTAGACAGGTCGGTATAGCTTCTTTGATCGCTTGTGTCATGGCCCTCAAAGTTCTAATGAGTTCACTGAAGGAGTCGGTGTTCCAATTACTTGAACTTGCGTAGTTAGTACGAGTCCTTGACATCTCCCACTTAAAACGTAAACACCCAATTACTAGCCTATCAAAGAATTATCCTACAAACACTCCTAAGACTCCCTAGGCCAAGAATCTTATCCTGGCTACTCTAATACAATAACTGCAAGACCTCGCTCTCTGACCCTTGGGCAACAGAACACGGGATCACGACTGGAGTCATGAACGTCACTCAGGTGGGAGTTGCTCAATGCATAAAAACATGGAATCGAGAGCAAACCACGAAAGAAAACTAGAATAAATCCATTCATCAGCAAATATCATTCCAAAAGGTACAACCATTTCATTCATTCAATGTCCATAGTCTTTACAATTTCTTCAAGACACTACTGATGCAAAATACACAAAATGAAGTAAACATCATGTTGCTGAAATCATCAAAACATACTGTGAAAGTCTTCGGGACGCGGCTTCTCAAACTTCTTAATTTCAGGCTTCAAGCTCTCGAACTGCCAACCACATTTAGCACAGACGCCACCACCCTTCACTCTATAGTAATAAAATTAAGATAGAATTAGTTAAAATCCTAGTAAGCAGATATGCACCATTGCATTCCAATCAGCATAACAATGATAACAATATGCAATGCACATATATTCACAATATATCAAGTGAAATCCTCCAATTATGCTTCTCACCATTCTAACAGTAATATGATAGAAGTAGTTTAATATGTAATTCATAATTCACAATCACATTACTTAAAGTAGAACGGTAACGATAACAAATCATAGTCACAAAACTAGTAAGGCACTACTCTTGAAGTAGAAGCCCCATCACTGAGGCTAAGCAAATCATGTTGCTTGAGACTTCTACCCTCATTCAAGAGGGAGGACAATGACAAGTGGATGACTCACTTTGTAATGCCCTCACACACGCCCACATCCCCAGCATTGGAAGACATGACCTCCCCTTGTGCCCTTTTGGTGAGAGGGAAATACAGTACTATAGGGTGATCCCCATGCGTAGTGCCCAAATAAATCTGGGAGGTGTGATCCTCCTAGATATTCACATTCACATCCCGACTCCCGTTCTATCATGGGGAGCAGGGGAACATCACGGTTGCAAGCACCATCATTCACATAGTAGGTACCCTTCCCTGCAGGCAGACACCAACACCATCATTCACATAGGTGCTCATTCACATATCACATAAACAACATGGTACCATCATTCACACAATAGGTAACCATTCATATATCACATAGACAGCATGGTATCATCATTCACACAGTAGGTACCCATTCATATATCACATAAACAACATGGTACCATCATTCACACAGTAGGTACCCATTCATATATCACATAAAAGGGCATGGTACCATCATTCACATAGTAGGTACCCATTCATATATCACATAAACAACATCTCATCATGGTAATAGCAATATCGCCTTTTGGTAATGGCATATCATATTTAAGAAATATCATAATGACAGTACCATGATAATAATGACATTATTCCAATTAAGCCTTACCGCTCAATTTCTTGCCATGAAGGGCAATGGTGTGCGCTCACCATTAGGGTCATAACTTTTGGACCAATTAGAGTTTGTAGATGGCTCCAAAACCACTTTTGTACAAAACACACTATCCCTCAAATGGGATTGATTTGAAGACAATTGGACCCCATTTGACCTCTTAAAGGTTCAAAGAGGTGAGGGTTAACTAGCTGCATCCTGAGGTGCACAAAGGACAACAACGTACCCTTGTTTCATATAACTATAACTTTCAAACCGTGAAGCAACTTGGGACGGTTCCAAAATAAATGTTTAAGCCAAGATGTATATATTTCTAGGAAAGATAATTTGAAAGCATTTGGATTCCATTTGGTGGTTCAAAGACTCGTTCTAAACAAGGTCATAGTTCTGAATTTTATCAACACTACCCACAGTGACATACCTTCATAAAACGAAGTATAACTTTCAATCTAAAAATAATTTCAAAATAGTTTCTCGCATGAAAATTTTTGCCCATTCAAAGATCTTTCAAATGGATGTAGTCTGACTAAAAATGAGCCCTATTTAGTTAGTTAAAATCATAGCGAAGATACGGACCAAGTCAAAGCGCAGTGCATATTCATTAAGCTTCCTCTGTTTGTTGCGAGAAAGCTAATCGAACGGGAGGGCACTTAACGCCATGAACGAGTGACGAGGGAAGAAGTGCCATGAGCAAGGCCAAATTCAAAGTATGATCTTTATATTATAAGTAAGAGGGGTTCAAGGATTAGGAAGAAGCGAATGACTTGCTTATACAAAGAAACTCTATTTCGATGAGACTTGAGTGAGATTTCTCTTTTAGGTCGGGGGTGAAGTACGAATTGCGTGTCATTCCCGAAGTGGCACATTAAGTGTCCTACTCAGCTACGCAGGAGCTTCTACCCAATGAAGCAGGGTGAGAGCGGATACGGTGCCAGAGCTGATACGGAGCTATTGCGCACCCTAGCTACGCCTTGAAAATTGAATGTGGGGCGATCTCGATCGACGTCATCTGGATATGGTTCAACCCCGGTCCTCTGGCTCTCAATCTGGATCTTCAAGGTGCTTTCTCCCTTTGCCTCGAATGCTTGTGATGGAAAAGCAGAGATCATATCTTGATGCGTGTACTGTACTGCTGCTATCCAAGCAATGATTTATCCCGAAAGAGAGATTGGCTATTAGCCTGAGCTTGGCTTTGCAAATCCCCCTCTCAAAGGCCCTTTGTGTATTACAAATCCGAGGATGGAAATCGCGTTTGAGGCAGATACAGAGGCCATACCCGTGCCCTTTCTATCGCTAACCATACCCCAATTTCTGTCCTTCTGAGCATGGGAAAGCTTGCTTCTTCAGTCAAGCAAGC